CAATTTGGAAGCTATCAGTTGCAGATTTATTCTGAACCCAACGTATGTCCTGTCTTTATTTGTATCATTTACATAATCTTATTTATATTCTATTTAAATATTTTATACATCGGATAAATTTTAATATGTTAATTATATATATATTTCTTTTAATTTAGCTTTTGACTGAATTCTGATTTTGGTACAAGTGAATCCCTGTCTATTAAACGAATAAATGTAAGTGTTCTACATTATATATATATATATATATATATATATATATATATATATATATATACTTTTTTTTTCGGTTAGCTCTACAGACCTTGTAGATCTTTGGCCGCCTGAACCAGCCTTCTCCACCTCTGCCTATCTTGGGCTACTGCTTTCCAGTTTGCTGCATGAAGCTCAGCTGTATCTTTGTTTATCCTATCTATCCATCTGGTTTTCGGCCTCCCACGTGGTCTCTTGCCTACTACTCTGGCATTCATTGTCGTGTAGAAGCGTCCTGATGGATTACTACGAGCTACATGCCCTGCCCATCTTAACCTCCTTGCCTTCATGTCATGAGATATTGACTGACCCGTTTCTTTCAACAGTTCTTTATTGTTCCTTCTCCTCCATGTGTCAAGATTCTGGTCCCATATGGGTCCTGTTATCCTAAGTAGTACTTTTCTTTCGAATCTCTCAATTCTGGCTTCTAATGTGCCGGTTAGAGCCCAGGTTTTACAACCGTACAGCAGAACTGGCTTAATCAAGGCGTTGTACACCCTTATTTTGAGATTTCTGGAGATTTGTCTAGATTTCAGTACCTTTGAAAGAGAGAAGAAAGATCTGTTCGCACTTGTTATTCGCTGGTCTATCTCTGTTAGTTTATCATTTATTGAGGTTATTGTGGAGCCGAGGTATTTCAATCTGTCTACTTTCGGGAATGACTTAGAATCCACGCAGATCATGTTATTAGGGTGGATGTTTCGGCTAACTGCATTGACTTATAGTCCGATTTGCTCTGCTTCTTTTAATAGAGTCGGAGCGAGTCTCTCAATATCCTCTTGATTACTTCCGAGGACAGCTATATCATCGGCATATGCTAGGATGTTATGTTTCATTCCAACATGAACCTCTCCATCTTCGCGTGATGTTATTCTTATTACTTTCTCTAGTGCTAAGTTGAACAGCATCGGCGAGAGTCCATCTCCCTCGAACTTCAAAGGCTTCAGAAACTTCTCCTTGTATTAGTACCCTGCATTTAGGATCATCTGTACACGCCTTCGTCAACCTCAATAATTTACCGGGAACACCCAGCTCAGTCATGATCTTCCAAAGACAGTTTCTGTCAACGGAGTCATAGGCTGATTTGAAGTCGACAAATAATGCGTGTACGTCCTGATCTACTTCCCATCGTTTTTCAAGTACTTGTTTTAGGATGAATATCTAGTCTAGCGTACTCCTCCCTCTCCTGAATCCTGTTTGATGGTCACCTATTATGTTTTCATAATACGGATATATCCGATTTAACAGAATATTAGTCATTATTTTATAGGCGACCGGAAGAAGTGCTATGCCTCTGTAATTGCCACATTCATACATGCCCTTCTTAAGGATAGGACAGATCAACCCTGTGTTCCATGCTTCTGGTAGCCGTTCCTTCTCCCATATCTTCTGGATTAGATCTAACAGCTTGGTTCTGAGTTCTTCTCCCCTTGAACAATTCTGATGGTAGGTTGTCCATCCCTGGAGCCTTTCTTCTTTAAAGCCTGTCGATAGATATGTCCACATCCAGAATATCTGGTTTTTCAACCTCAAGTGGGTCGATGTCCTCAGTGTGGTCCATGTCTTCTTCGTTTGTAGGGTACACTTGGTTAAGCAGCTACTGGAAATGTTCCTTCCAGATGCTTAGGATCTTTTCTTTTGATACCGTCAATTTGCCATCTTTCTCTCGCATTTGCGTATTTCTCGCTTTATATCCTACCCTTTCTTTCTTGATATTTCCAGCCTGCCAGTTTTCCTCAATAGTTTGTAATCTTTCTTTGAGGAATTCTCTTTTGGTTGTTCTTATTATTTTGTTTGTCTTTTTCCTGGCGGCTGTGTATTTGTCCAGCATAGCTTGATCAGTTTGTAAGCAGAGGACTTTTCTTCTTTCCTCCACCGCCTTTTCGCATGCTTCTGTGAACCATTTCTTGGCTTTTCTTTTTTCCTGAATCCCTAATACTTCCTTAGCTGTTTGTTTTAGCCCTGACTCAAGTGCCTACCAGTGTTGGTCCACCGTGAGACCTTCCGAGTTCAAAGGTTCGAATTTATTTTTCAGCTCAATTTGAAATTCAACTTGTACCATAGGGTTTTTCAAATTACGGACTTCGTACCTCTCTCTTTCCAATTGGTTCCTAATTCTGTGGATTCGCTTCAGCCTCTGACAGAGTTTGATTCTAATCAGAGTATGGTCCGAATCACAGTCTGCTCCACGATAACTCCTTATGTCTTGTATGGAGCTTTGATGCATTTTGTCTAGCAGCACATGGTCGATTTGGCTTTTTGCTCCTTTAGGACTTACCCAGGTATACTTATGTATGTCCTTGTGCAGGAACATCGTACTGCTTACTACTAGACCTTTAGCTGCTGCCAGACTGACGCATATCACTCCATTGTCATTGCTAGTTTCGTGGAAACTTTGGCCTCCGATGACGGGCTTAAATTATGTTTCTCGACCTATCTTGGCATTCACGTTCCTATGGATAATTTTGTCATGTTTTGGAGCCTGGTCCACAACTTTTTCTAACTGATCATAGAAATCATCCTTCACCTCATCCTCTTTTTCTTCGGTTGGTGCATATACACGTTTATAATCGTGATATTAAACCAACGACCTCTTACGCGTAGCACACTTATCCTTTCATTAACTGGGTGAAATTTATTACTGATTTCCTTGCGGCCGGATAACTATAAATCCCAGACAGCTGTCCTATTTTTGTCGTTTCTCCCGGTGTAGAACAGTGTGTATCCGTCTATAGTGGTTTCCCCACCATCTGGCCACCTTACCTCTTGAATGGCTGTTAACAGTATGTTGTACCTTTTTACTTCATTGACTGCCGTTTGGGCGGCTCCTGGCCTGAATAAGCTCCGAACATTCTATGATCCGATATGGAGTCCGTTATACAAAGCCGGAGTCGTTACCGTGTTAAGACAGTCAGATTTTCCGAGGCTAGTTTTAGGTTTCTTAATATTGTATTTTTGAGGGGATATGGTTATTAGCCCTATGCCCGACCCCCAACCTGGAGGACCAGGAGCTTTGTCAGGAGCCATTAATAGTTTATTTCCATCTAAGACCGAGAAACCAAAGGCTCCATGGACAGATTTTCTTGGGTGCCCATAAAACTTTAACACTTTGACTGTGGAAGGTTATTCCAATATTACTATCAGATGGCATGTCCCAAAATCCAAAATCCCACTTTAGAAAAACTGTTTTTTTTGTTTTGTATAAATTTGTTTAAAATACTATTTTGAGACATCCTGGAAGATTTTTGCTTTCAAAAATGCATTTTAACCTTTTTATTTAACTTTTAATGAAAGGAACATATGCCTTTCCTGCCACACATGACAATGAATAATTAGATCATCAATCCCATAAAACTTCCCTATCTTATTCATTGGGAAATTCCTCTAAGCAGATAAATTTTCCCTAAATTTCTCTTTTCTTTAAATATCTGCTTTTAAGAATTTTTTTTCCAGCTTCCAGGGGTGGCGCCCCCCTCCCCCGTTTGGATCCACACCACCTTAGATTAATTGTAGTACTGTCACGGAATACAAGTCTCATTTCATCGACTTAAGGTCCCTATGATCGAGACAGAAGTTAATATTATTTATCAAAGGAGTTTTTTTTTTGTTGGTAAGCCATATCATCCTTAATTCTTCATCAAATCACAAGGTTGAGCCACCAATTTTGAAGGTTTCCTCCTCCTTCAGGCATGCAAAATAGTTCAATCACCCCGAAAATTCAGACCAAAAAGTTTTTAAGAAAAGGAACTTATTTGCGAATAACTCAAAAATTACACTTTTCCTTTAGTGTGTCCATGATTACATAAAATATTAGTGAATTCCCTACAAAAGGAAGTATAAATCTTCAAAATCAGACAATTATAAAAAATACAGCTTATTGAAATTTGTATATGTGTTGTTTCCAAACATTAAGAGGTTTAAAATTCATTTTTGTTTCCTTTTTTGATTATATTTAGCGAGAAAGCAACAACTGACTTCTCTATGTTATGATACGTTGCATTATTTTCTTTTATTTCTTTTATATTTTTGTTATTTTATCACTGATTTTATACTATATTTACCGTGCAAATTTTTCGCAAGTGCCTACTAGTATAAATTGTTTACACTACCTTTATTGTGACATCAGACATTTTAGTATAACTTCAGGGCTAGATCAATGTATACAGGTTAATGTATAAATGTATGATCTATGGCTTATCTAATATAGCTAGAGCTCCTAGAAAAAGATATAAATGTTTTATAGATTGATCCCAGAAATAATTATCACTATTTTTGATAAATTTAAAGGAGAAATATCTACTCTACCAATAATTAAAAAATACAATGGAAAACAAGCAGATTTTAGAAAACGACTTTTTTTGGGGGAAAAGCACAAGCACACTGTTAATGACGAGTTTCTTAAATAAATAGAGCATGTATACTATACATTCAAAATTAGTCTCATTATGATATAATTAATGAGCCTAAAAATATAATAAAATCAGTAATAAAAAGTTTTAACTTTCAATGTTCTATCAGCAAAGCCAAATTCCATAGTGATACATTGTGGGTTACATATAAATCAATTTCCAAGTGTTTATATAGAAGTGTTAAAAAAGATTATTACATTTTTTTATTTACATATTACACTAGGATGGTGCTCAAATGAAAATATATCAACTGGCTATTAACATATCATAATTCATTAACAAAGATTCCAAAATGAAGTTTTCATGAGGAAAATTAAATCAACTTTATATACACAAAATAATTAGTAAATCCTTATATTGAGAAAAGCATTTGAAAATATACAAGGATCAACATAGGCATGATAGGATTAGCCCAGAATAACTTACAATTTTCTAACAAAAAAAAAAAAAAAAAAAAAACCTGATATGAGCTTTTAAATAAAATACTTCAACTAAATCACACATATGCAACGCGCGAACATGCACTCACACACCCAAACATTTTGAAGCATACATACATATATCAACATAGACACACACATGTACATGCACTTTACAGACATGTGTCTGTTCATGTTATACATAAGATTACATTAGATAAAAATAAGTTTCACATATAATCAATTGGTATTCAAATTTATTATGTTCTAATTGGAATGATCCAAGAAGACACAAAGAAATTTTATCAGTAATGCACATTTAACTAATTAAGAGATATTCATCACATGAATGAAAATTGTTTAATGTAACAGGTTATCAAATGAACCTCATGATTTATTAACAATTCATTTTTTCTTTTTTTAAAGAGCAATCAACGTTTACTGTACTTTTTTTATTAACAATATTTAAACTATAGACAGATAAAAAGTGGTTCTAAATTTAAATTTTATAATTCTGATAGTTTCATAAGAAACTATATGTACAGGAAAAAAAAAAAAACATTTCTGAGTGTCATAAAAATAACAATTCTGTTACAATAACTGTCTAACAAATATTTAATTACACAAACAGCTGCATATAGCCTTTAAATTACTGCTGCGAAACTAAAGTCATTGAAAGAGCCACAGCAAAAAAATAAAATAATAATCAAATACACAATTATAACTATTTATAAAAATATAAACTGACATGTGTATATTAACAAAACTAAGTAAATTACACTTTTTCTTTAGCTTAATAAGTGTTCAAACATGAGAATTACCAAGTTTACAGGGGAACAGAACTATAATATATATATATATAATTTGTTCCGTCAAATATTTACTATTCAAATAAACGTTTAAAATGATTTTAGTGGATTGTTTATAGTTTAAATTTAATGATGAGTAATATTACGAAAATAATGTAAAATTGGAAAATATATCGCATGGAGAAGAAAAATGACATTTTGGAACAAAGAAAGAAAAATCCTGCCTTTATAAATCTCTAATAAATATCGAATAAAAATACAACTGTATTGCTATAAGCTTTTTATATAATCATTAATGTACTGTTTCAATACTAAAATTATTGGCAGAATCACTGCCAAAAAATCATTAATCGATAAACTCTATTATATCTATATGTATAAATATTAAGTGACATGTGTACATTTACAAAACTATGTCCATTACACTTTTCATAAGATTCTTCAAGGGTTTAATTTGCGAAAACATAAGAATCACCAAGTCCAATCAGGAAATTGGCTACAGTTAGATGTAAATTTGTCAGTTAAATCTGTGATTATAACAAATGTTTACAATTAATATATAATTTTCTCTTTCCATTCAAGTTAAATTATATTTGCAGAAAAATATCCTTGTATGTATAGAAAACATAAATACAGTAATAACATTTTTAAAATGATAAAAGAAAAATTGTGACTTTGATATAAATTTAACATATGTTGAATATACATACTTACAGCGATATAGATCAAGCTGCAGTACAATGTTCATGTATACACCAATGTTTCAGGGTACTGCTTCAACAATAAAAATCATTGATAGAAACACTGACAAAAAACCTGTTACTTGATGTATAAATATGTGATTAATAACAAAAATAGGTCTATTATAGTTTTTCATTTTCTTTAGTTTATTTAAAAGGGTTGAAATTAATATAACATGACCACTAAAAACAGCATAGGAATTGAGCTACAACATTTAATTTTATCTGCCAAATCTGGTTATTAAAATAATTGTATATTACTATTACATTTTTCAATTAATTATTGGATTTAAATTGAAAATCAAAAATTGATAAATATTATGTGTCTTGTAAGTTTTATAAATTTACAAATAAGTGTATTAATCTTATACACAACACATACACAGAGTCTATACAGTGTGCATATGAAGTGAAAAAGACAGTGACCGAAATAAATTAAATTTTATATTAAAAAAGAAAATAAAATCAGAATATCATAACATACAAATATTCAACAACAACCATATTTGGTATTCTCTATAGGTCTGCCCTGATCTATTTTAACATTGTTTGTGGTATCTCCAGCTGAAGAAGGAGGCCCAACTCTATTCTTGATTTCAGCAGCCATGGTCATAAATGCTTGTTCAACATTAATTGAGTTCTTTGCTGAAGTTTCGATAAATGGTATCTTCAAATGGTCGGCATATTCCTAAAAAAACAATTCTTTAATAAAGTAAAAGAAAAAAATCATACATATTACAAAACAGAAAGTGTCTTGGATTCAGCACTTGGTTAAGATGTACTCTTTCTTGACTAACAGTTGTTATATGAAAGATGTGGTTAGAACCATTTTTTTATTAGAGTATATTTTATGTTAATCATCCTTAATTTATAATTAGTGAGCATATGTTGCCAAAAGGCTCAATAAAAAAGTGATCAACATAATTCCTGCACATATTGTTTAAATGATTTGACTTAAAAATCAAAAATAATTAATAAGATAAGGTGTAGGAAAATAAATAATGTATGTTTCACATATCTTTTAACTGGCTCATTATTGTTTACATTCTATCATAACTTATAATCAGAGTAAGTAAATTACTCTGATTATAAGGACTTTTAAGCAGTAAAGACTTGTATAAGATGCTATATAATATACAGTAATAAACTGTAAAATATCCTAAATTAAAGGACTTTTAAGCAGTAAAGACTTATATAAGATGCTATATAATATACAGTAATAAACTGTAAAATATCCAGCAAAGTTTTTTCCAAATTTGCAAATTAAACTTAACAAACTTATACCAGCAACTAAAGAATAATAGCAACAAGCCGTAGTATATAAAGAGAATAACTAATTGACAATATTAAAAAATATATTAAACACCAATGAATTCAAAATGATTTAAAACACAAATTAACACAAAAGATGTAGTAAGTATGTATATTTATTAACAGTATGGATGCTAATGTTTAAGAATATAATGTGATGTACCTTTAAAAAGGAAAATATAAAAAAAAAGTATTAGAAACTTACAATTAGTAATAATTGAAAATTGACTTTTCCATAATTTGTAAAAACTGTTTCATCTTTGATATTATAAGAGTTGATTTAATATTACAATCATGAAGTTGATTTAATATTACAATCACTTACTTTAAAAATGTGAGTGGTTGTAAAAATTTACAAAAGGGTAAGAAGAGATGAGATGAAAAAAAAAAAATCCATATTCAATAAAAAAACATTGTCTTCCTGTCGATAATTATACTAATCTTTTTGTACCAGTCCCGGTCATTAAACCTTATTCATGTATATTTATAATGGTCCTCCTCTCCTTCTTCAGAACTTCAATTGACAAGCAGGAGAGAAGGACAATCATAAATAAGCCTGAAAGGTCTTATGACCGAGACTGGAAGCAAAATAAAATAACAAAATCATAGGAAAATAAAGTCTTTTTATTTAATTTGATATCACTCCTGTTATATCAAGCCTCAATTCAAAAAAAAAATCCATATTCTAAATAATGAATTAATGACAGTAGCGTTGCTTTATTGTTTGAAAATAAACCTACAATTGTGATCTTGAATTTTTAAATGTAAATGTTTTATTTCTACTTTTTTAAAAATTTAATTGAAATCATAAAAATATGCAATTATATGTATTCATAATAAAATTTGATACATTGTCCATGATTACACAGATGAGTAAAGATTTTTGTTCGTAAAAGCTGCATGGAAACAAAATATACTATAAATTAGAAATTTATACCTTCATAATTTAATCCATTTTAAGCCAACCAATTATATACAGTCAATAGTAAAAATATTAATGAGTCATTTCAAGAGAACAGGACATTTTGGTAAACAAACATATATGATTTTAAATTGTTTAGAAAAAAGAAAAGAAATTCCTTATCCATTCCATCTGTATGACTGTTTATTCTTCAAAGCAGTATTAACTAGTATCTCAATTATGTTAGTCAAGTTAGTACCACAAATGACTAAGAGCTGAGGGAAGGATACAAAGGACTGAGAATTAATTATCAAATACCTATATTTACAAAAAAACTCTTCAGGCCTGGTTCAGTTAGCTAAACAGGTCCAAGAGACACACTTATTGGTAACCTCCAATCGATTCAAAGAATTATATGTCACGTGACAGCTTTGGTTTTGAATCCCCGTAACTTCTCAAAAAAATTAATGAAACCAGTAAATAAAATAAGGCTTAATATAAGACTCAATTTTAGTGCTAATTTTTGAAGTTGTCTAGTAGTTATTGAACTAAAATACTGAGAATAATGTATTTTTAGAAAATAGCTTATCACTGTCAATGTAAACTAAACACTTTTTAAATATAAAAACATAACATCATTTAGAAATGATGTATGTCTAAAACAAACAAAAAAATCACATACCTTCTTCTAAGATTTCATTGCAGAAGTATTGAGAAAATGAATTGATATATCAGATAAAAATAAATAAATGGCACCATGCAAGACTTTTCAAGAATTTTTAAGATCCCTTAAAGTTTATTTTTCTATAGGCAAGATCTAACAGTAGTGACAATGTTTACACAATCAAAGAACTAATTCAAGTATCTTCTAGCAATCAACTTTTAGTTTTGACAAAATGCACACTTAAAGACTGACATAAAATGCACTGTCCAAACCACAATTTTGTGGATTCAGAACCCTAGTACACTAAACTAAAAATAAGGTAATAGACTAAAAATAATCAAGCAAACTTTTAAGGCCAAAGATAAAGTTTGCAAATAAACATAAAGTTAAGTGTCTAGGAGTGAGAAAGAGAGCATGACAAGGGACTGAGAAAATTTATGATTATAATTTATTTTAAAAAGAGTCTGATTTATTATTATTTTATATATTCATTAAATATGTCATATAAAATAGATAGAACAAATTCTAATAATAATATTTATAGTTATCTGCCACTTAAGTTAAAAGATTTACAGAGATATGATGAAATGCCCTCTTTTAGTAAAATGAAGATCACATTCTCTTAAAACAGATGACTATAGCATTAGACCAGAGGCTCCCAAACTATGGTCTAGTCTTTAATAAACTGTAAAGAAAGGAGAACAATATTTACATAATAAAAATACATACCTTTGCAGTCGCATAGTCCACAACTTTTTTTGTAATCAAGTCACATTTGTTTCCAACAAGAAGTTTGTTAACATTATCACAAGCATAACGATCTATTTCTTCTAACCACTGTTTTAGGTTGGAAAACGATTCTTGATCAGTGCAGTCATACACAACTATGATTCCATGAGCCCCCCTATAATAGCTTGAAGTAATGGTTCTAAATCTCTCTTGTCCTGCAGTATCCCACTAAAAATATAGGCGTTATTACAAAATGTATGTAATACATGATACAATAAAGCAACAATAAAGAATAACTACACTCTTATAGCAATTCCCTTCTAATATGTATGACTTTTTAAGCAAGAAAGCCTTGCAGTACCTACAGTTGTCAATATGGCAATTTTTAACCCTCCAGCGCTAACATTGGATTATAATTTCCATAATGTTCAGCCAGTAATTAAACTCTTCTACCCATTATAAGAGCATTTGAAAATTTTTCAGTTCCTTGCAAACACTGAAACCTCTCCTAATGAACAACTCTCCCTCAATCCTCTTTATAGACAATTTTTAATGTCCCAGTATAAAATTATTGGAATTTAGTACTCTTTGCAACAAATACCAGACAAATTTTAGTCACCAAGACATATGAACCATTCTTAATAGAGAGAAAATTTAAAAATGAATAGAAAACCTATTTAAGTTTTATATTAATACAGACTTAATTTAAAAACTTGTGGAAGACAACCATTTTATGAACAACAATCTAAAACCAAAACACCACCATCACATAAAAAACATTATTATCTTTTAATCTCCAACATAATGAGGAATAATTTGTAAACATATTTGTTAATAAAATATTTTTTTCACTAAATATATTCATCAATACATACCTACTTCTAAAATTTATATGTATATAAATAGAAAAAAAAATTAACTTGACACAAACATAAACATAGATTGTCATATTTTAGGAAGAAAATACCCCTACCCTCCTGATGGGACAAACATCTGCAACCAACAAATTCATAGGACCCATCGCTGTCCATTGTGGAGAGGTTTCACTGTACTTAGTTATTCAACGGAAATGAAGAAAAACACCAGTTTTTATTAACAATTTTTGAGGTTGTTTAGCTTGGAAATGTTGAGTTTGTTACTACACTTTAAGAGGAAAATATTTAACATAAAAATGATAATGCTTTTTTAAATATAGAAAATGAAGATAATATAGTATCCTTAATATAAATCTCCTAGAAGATTAACTTAGTTAGTAACTGGTAAATAATCACAAAGGGTTACTAGCTTCATACACAGAGTTAATTGCCTGGAAAAGGGATCCCAATCCCAATATCGATCCCAAGTGTCTAAAAACAAAATTGCTCACTGATGGACATTTCCTATAGCCAAGCCAACCCTAATGACCAAGCTGTTTCAGTAACAGCCGGATTCCACTATAGAGTAGAGATTGTGACTAAAAGATTGTCAGATGATGTATGAGAACAAGGAGGTTTATGAAGAGACCTCATAAGCTATTGATGAGGCTGAAACTGACATTCTAGATTGTTTAAGAGAAAAGGTTCAGAACAGATGAACCTAAAATATCGTATGCTAGATTAAAGGCTGGGTATGTCATACAGATCAGCTGAGAGCCTCTTTTCTAATGGTAGCTCTCCTCATCAGGGCCTACTTTACTTTTTATAGGTTAACTCACTTTTAAGGGCTCACTTCTGTAAGTAGCCATAAAAAAAAATTCACGTCAGGAACTGCAACCTCTGGATCAATGAAATCATGCTTTAAGTTTAACATTAAGCTCACTCTTTGCCTAGTTGGGAAAATCAGATTGAAGACCATTCTATAGTGGATCATAGATTTTAGTAAGTTTCTAAAAATGAACTAATATTGCTGCACTCACCATAAGAAAATGGTTTAAATTTTGAAAACATTTCACAATATAACTACATACTCAAGATGACAAAAGTACTTCCTACCTCAACTTAGTGCAGTACTTTTTCTGAAACATCCAATAGGTCTAGCTTTCTGGCATCTAGTATAATCAATTAGTTTTGATTTTAAAGGGTATCAGTATCTGGACATTGAAGTGGAAGTACCCTTTAACCTTCAGGACAGTAGAACATTTACTAGCAGCCTATTGATTAGTACTGTCTACCAGTATTGTTCTTGAGTACAGGGGGTATAAATCGCTAAATATAAATTTTCAATATACAAAAGATTACAATGACTCTCACACCCTACTTTCAAAAGCAATTCCTAAAAATTGATACACACATATGGCATGTAGACTAAGATCAAATCGATCACAATGCACACAGAATATTGAAAGTAGCTAAGTGTGTCTGATAACAGCTACTAGTCCTTTTTCAGACACAGTCCGGTATCTTGGTTTTCTCTTAAACCGAAGACTAATGAGGAACCCACATACTAGACTTAAAAGACAAGGACTTAACCAATGAGACGGCCTATTATTCAAACTACTGTCTAGAAAATCTCGACTTTCAATTGACAACAAATCACTGATCTACAAGACAATCCTGAAACCTATTTGGACCTACGGACTTGAAATTAGCAGGACAGCAAAATTTTCTAACATCAAACGCATCTAATCCTTTCAGTCCAAAGACCTCCAAACAATAGTCGATACTCTGGTCTATTTAAACAACAAAACCTTACATCATGACCTTAATATCCCAATTGTCCTTTATCCCTCAAAAATTTTCCACATTCCACCAGAACCTTATAAATCATCAAAATCCCATAGCACTCATCAATACAATGCTGCTCGAAGGTTGCAGCGGCAGTGGCCCAGAGATGTTTTGTAGTATATACCTTGGAGTTCTGGCAATAGCCAGATTCTCCACTAAAGACATGAGTATATGTGGCTAAAGCACTCTTGCTTAAACTCTACTGGCTTTGTCACCAGTGATGCGGTTGAGAGAGTAGTGCAGGGATCTCTTGGGAGTCCTGCTTTTTCCTTCCATAGTTGGAAGGAGAAGCCTGACTTGGGGTTCCCTACCTAATTGTATATAGGTATGACTGTGTTTTTAATTTAGTTATCTTCAGGTTATTTTATTTTTTATTGTACATGGTTTCTGATTATTATTTAACTTTTGTTAATTTTATATTTTCTGTATATATGGTGTGAATGTGTTCATATCTCACTAATTATCGTCCACGTGAGAGACTATTATACTTCTAAATAAATTAATAAAAACCATGCAAACAAGTTCTTGGTTTGGTACAACTTTAAAAGTGTCTCTACAATTCGATAGGTGAGCACAAGATCTCAAGATCATATTATAAATGGAATTCCGAGAATGACCAGTTATTGACATGTTCACGGATATAACCTCCCTTAATTTATGTCTTGATTTTAGATTTCCATAAGCTCTCAACTGTTCTTTTTCAGGTAAAATCAGAACCTTAATTAATAAGCTTTAAATACATTACTACTTTTAACTTCCATTTTCTCAAAAGGGATAAGCATACTTCCAATGCGTCTTTTTTATTTAAGGTTGTGGCATTACGAGATTTTCAGCCACCCCTGTCTACTTTCAGACATATCGATTACTCGGTCATTCTTGAAATTCTATTTATAGTGATCAAGGGAATGATCTCACAGCCTACCCATTAAAGTGGAACAACACTTGTAAAGCAATACCCTTTTTGTAATCAAACTTGTTTAAATTCAATTAAAGATAAATTGCAGATAAGAAGACTTATCTAACTTTATGGCTGTAGCCTATAAAAGATTAATTGAATAAAAATTGATTTAATAATCAAATAGACAGAAAAAAGATATTACAGTTCTCTGTAAGAACCTCTGTTAACTGGGGTAATGATGGGGATTCACATTAAATCGAAAACCCCGGATAATCGAATTACTACATTTTATTGACATAATGTGATAAAAAGGAAGGTTAATTTATTTTTAAAAATGTGCAGAAAATCGTTTTTATTAACAATCAAACTTTTTATATACATTAAATTATAATATACAAAAATATAAAAATGAATTTATGCATGTTTTTACATATGCATTAAATTATCTTTTGGAGAAAATATCATTAATTTTATTCTTTTTTCCCTCAGTACGTTTTTGCATGAACCATTGATAGACAGCTTCATCTACGTCTTTTAATGTAGTATATGTACTTTATTGTTTTCGAGGAGACGATGTTTAGGTGGATGATGATACGAAGACAGAAATGTCTTTTTTTTTTAAATATCACAAACAGTTTGCTCGCCAATTCTTAATTCAGCGGACAATTTATTAACACTTTCACCTTTTACTACTCGTTTTATAATGGTCAATTTCTGTTCAAGCATTAAAATGATGTTTTCTTTTTTGAAAAATTTCGTTAGTTCATATTTAAATGGATATTAAGCCATAACTGAGTAAATAATTTTGTTTTGTAGGCAAACAGGCCAGTAGGAGTTTCATAAAAAGAGATTCATGAAAGATTCGAAAACATCACCGTTCCTAGAATATGAATTGGACAAGTAGTTTCCATCTGATTAATACGATATCTGCTTGCCATGTTTTTACATTCATTGTTTTATTTATTTATTTGTAAAAACAATACATAATTAATAATTATATAATCATAAAAAAAATCCAAGGTATTCAGTTTTTTAAATAAACATTATACATATAATATAAATGGTGTAAAAATTAAAAAACATCTTATTAAAAGAAAAAAATTGGCCCCTCAGAACTTCGGTTAATAGAGCCCCAGATAATGGGAGTCCTACTGTATGTAAGAATTTAATAATAATTACTGTATGAAGTTTGTTAACTTCTCTATCACACAATCCAATAAAAATACATAAAATTTACACATTATATTTATAAATTTTTGTTACTCAATTATTAAATTGGGTCTTTACTGTTTTAACTTTCATCTGTTTCCTCAATTTTATCACTAACACTTTAGCTGAATTTCAAGTTACATATTATTTTTATTAAGTTACTATGCTTAATAATAGGGTTTTGATTATTATCAGTAGGATACATACAAATTTTATTTATTTTTATATTCACAGTGTAATATAAACTAAACTTCATGTGTATGTTGTTGTTTCATGCTGTTTATAATTATTAATAGGATGAGAAGGAGGTGGGGGTTGAGGATTTCTTCCTCGAATGACTAACAATGATTTAATCCTACGGAAGGTCTGGAGATCGGTTGTTTCCATTTACTTTCAGACATATTCAGCTACTTTTGTTAATTCATGAAGTGAGAGTGATGTGATCTTGGCCCATCTGCCATCTATGAGTAGCAATTGAGAAGTAGTACCCATTGACTTCGTCAAAGTGAAACTTGCCAAATATTTCACACATAATAATCACACCATTCTCCTTTTATTTATCAATTAAAAATAATAATTTAGTAATACTTACAATCTGAAGTTTAATGGTCTTTCCTTCCAAATCAATTGTTCTTATTTTCTGTAAACAAAAATATAATAAACTAAACATACACAAGATAAAAAATGTCTGTTGATAAACATAATATAACAATGTTTTTTTTATTTGTTACAATAAATTAGGACATTTTTCACCAACCTTTTATTATTACGCATCAATTTAACGTTTCGACCATACTAAGGGTCATTTTCAAAACTGGAAAATTATAATAACATTATTAGTTAATATTCAGCATTTATAAAATGAATTTCTTATTACATTTAATTGAATTGTCTAACATTCTATGTCAAATTATTTCCGATATACTTAATTTTATATAAAAATATACATAAGGTATACACTTTTTATTTAAAAAACCCTTACATGTACGTAACTATAACCATTAAAACTCTAACAATTAAAAACAAATGCCTATTACCTTGATGAGTCCTCCTAATATGTCCATCCTTAATGTTCTAATTAATAAGTTCAGTGAACATTACTTGTCAATTTTTATAGGTGCTTCGCCTACGTCATTTCTGGAGGGACTGACTTATATCGACCTGGTGGGGATAGTCAAAAAGAGAGGGATTTTCCTTCTATATGTTTTGCATTGGTGGATTATTATATTATTATATACGAATTTTATTAATTATATTTGCTTAAAAATTAACAACCATACAGATGTGGACAATATAAATACTTTTTATGCAAATATAATTAATAAAATTTATATTATAATAATATAAAATAAAAGGTAATAGGCATTTGTTTTTAATTGTTAGAGTTTTAATGGTTATAGTTACGTACATGTAAGGGTTTTTTTAATAAAAAGTGTATACCTTATGTATAATTTTTATATAAAATTAAGTATATCGGAAATAATTTGACATAGAATGTTAGACAATTCAATTAAATGTAATAAGAAATTCATTTTATAAATGCTGAATATTAACTAATAATGTTATTATAATTTTCCAGTTTTGAAAATGACCCTTAGTATGGTCGAAACGTTAAATTGATGCGTAATAATAAAAGGTTGGTGAAAAATGGCCTAATTTATTGTAACAAATAAAAAAACTTCAAGACACCAAAAGTAGGAAAAATGATAAGAAGAAAGATAACAATGTTCCTTTACAATAAATATTAAAGACTGACCTTAAAAAAAAAAAGGGGGAGGGTCTAATTATTTATCCTTAATCATCATATATAACTTTTGCAAAACTTATTGTGTTGAAAATTAAAAACATTTTTGAATTATTTAAAACATTCTGCTTGAAGAGCATAACACTTTTGTTGCAAAAAAAAAAAAAAAAAATGCAACTACAGCATAATACTAAAAAAATTATAAGCAGTCAGACTCATATTAGGAAAAAAAGTTATCCCCCATAAATAATAATAGGATTTTGCCCAAATGAATCACTCCTTGGAGGAAAATGTTAACATTTGTTTATAGAAAAAGAACAAATACAATAAGTAAGTGTTGAGTAGGCAGTGATATACTCATGGATGTTGATATCTACGGGACAGTGAGGATGTGATTCGTCCTCACCAATATTTTGAATGGACGTGTATGTCTATGGTTCTTAACGAGTATAAGATAACCTAAATTCTTAGAAATTCGCAACAAAAGCATAAGAATAAATGAAGCTACTATTATTATTGAAAGTGTTTAGTATCCCTTTGTCTATGAACAATATTTGCTAAGCAAGCCTTATTAGCAAAAATATAGTTATGCTTGGGCTTGGGTCACGCATGTTTCTTATTGTTTATTAGCCAGTCCATAAAAAAAAAAAAAAAAAAAAAAGGGGGGAGGGGGCATAAAACAGAGTTTGAGGAAAGAGTGCAACATAATCGCTAGTATTATTCAATAATTCATCAAATATTTGAGTTTTTTCTTTTCAAAATAAAAATAGTTCAAACCAAAATATTTCTCTGAAATACGAGTATATTACCACCCTTCCCCCCACCATCCATCTGTTGGTCAATTGTTTACAAAGAATTTTTATTTTGCAGCGTTAGGAAAAAGCCTCCATTATTCAAACATTTATCATTGGAAGTCCAATGATCCTTTTTTCTTCAAAAGTTAAATGGATGCGTGCTGACATATAGTCAATTAATGGTCAGAGAACGAACAACAAAACATTATAACTATAACCTCAACCACATAACCGAATTCCCAGTATCCATTTAATTGAACTATGCTTTCATGAATTGATGTTCTCAGAATATCAACCCTACCAGTTTGCTGTTCTCTAGTATGGAGAAAATTATCAATATAAATATTGTACTTATGTCAAGCACATTATGGGCTTTATCAAAATTGCTCACTAAGAGAAGTTTCACTGTATTTTATGGTCTCCGTCTATAACAAAAATTGAGAGGGAATGACCCCCATGGATATGCTCTGATGTTAGAAATACTATTCTTTGTAATATCAGTTGAGATAGGCGATCAGCTTAAGAACTACAGTGGAATTCTGGCAATTAAGAATTAAATTAATTATTTTTTTTTTTTTTTTTTACGTTTTTCCTCTCATAACAAATTTCATCAATCATTCGCACATTCATCACTAAGATTCTATCTTTAAATCATGATCGTCATGCCTTTTATGAAATGATACAACCAACCATCAAAGGCTTGAAAGTCTTTAATTCCCAGTTCTTCTCCTAAATTATTACCTTTAAATTTTTGATCAATGACAGAGAATTGATTTTTACTTTGCCTTTCAAAAAGACTATAATCATCGATGGAGGAACATTATAAGGTTTAGATACATTGTTGTTTTCCACACTGACCACAGCTTGAGTGGTTTCTTGTTTAGGTTTATATCACCTCTGAGATAATGTAAAGAAAAAAAAGAAACAAATATCACATTCGAAAAACATACAGCGATAGTTTAGGATCAAAACAGTGAAAACAAACTAAAATTCATAGAAATGATTTCCTCTTTTACTTTCTTAGAAGTATGAACTATAAAACATTCATATTATTTGGTAAATTAAAATAAATACAAATTATCAAGGGGACCGGATTGCATTTTTTTAAGAAACATTTAGAGATTCTGTTCGTTCTTGAAATCTGATTTGAATTATCAGGTAGGTAGGGGGTACTATTATGAATGGGTAGGGTTACTAATTCTGGTAAAGTAGTGAATTATTGACATAAAAATGAGCTTGCTCATCGCAGTGATGAGTTCTGATCTGATCTCGAAAAAAAAGTTAGGCCAATCCTTAATTATCAACGGTGTCTTGATCAACAGCTGAAAATTTGAATAATTAAATAACTAATAGAAACAAGAGAATTTAACCACTTAATATTTCCGAAAATGATAATATATCGAAATAAATTAACGTTATTTACTTCAAATAAAAATTAGTAAAAAAAAATATCTAAGCCAAATCCATTATGAAATGAAACTTTGATCAATATAACTACTTACTTAGGAAAATATAACTGATATTAAAAATGAAGATAAATAAATGTTCATCAATCATGAACAACAATGTAAAAACATATCAAAGAAATAAAATAATTTCATTTGAATAACTTGAAAATTAAAAAAACTATTTTAACTTTTAACGTACACCTCTAGGATCTCATGTTTCACTTCTAATAATATTGTCTTTTACAAACAAAACATGTCACATTACAATGGACAATGCACTTTTTAATAACTAAAATCACCTCTTATTTTGACCAGAAAATTAGCTCATGATTTTCTATTTTCTAATTAATTTTTTGACCACAAATGTACAGTAATTTTTAATAAGAAAAATTGAGACTGTGGAAGAAAATAGATAAATGCACCAATTAACAATTATAATACCAATAAGTGATATCTGACCTGACAGATAACAAAATTCTCTTCCCTCCCTTTGTCTCAAGTGATTCAAATTTACTAGTATAGCATAGTAGCAGCACAAAAACATAATAATTACAACTAAATAACAGCAAAAAAATCAATTTTGGAACCAGTGTAGTTTGGAAATTACATAAGCCCATTGACTAACAGTACTTCATAATTAATTCATAAAAAAACAATTACAAACAAAGATGGTTTGTTTAGGAAAGTAAATAAAAATTAAATCAATTCAACATAACAACTATCAGTAAGACAGCTGATCCAGGATAAGAAACAAAATATATGGCTAATTGGTAACAAATCTACTATGACCTGATTGTAAGGCTAAGTTTATAAAATGTAATTATAACATTCAAATATTTATATCAATAAGAATAATATTCCAGCAAAAATCAAATATTTATCAGTACAATCACGCATAGTTATGGAAGAAAACTTTTGTTCAAGTTAGATTTAATTTTAATTTCTTCAGTAAATAAAAACCAAATAACGATTGAATCATGAGTCACTTATGTAAGTAGTGTATGATAGCATGCAAATTAAAGAATGTAGTACAAATTACATAATGAAATTCACTGCGACAAAAGGTATTTAAGAAATCGTTACGAAGTTTTTTCGAAAATTAGAATTAAATTCATAATTTAAACAATATGAAATGTATGACTTACGAAATCAACTCCAATTGTGCTGATGTAGCTTTCCGAGTAAGTGTCATCCTATAACAAATACAATCAATTAGGTAAAATCTCTACACATCTTCAATGAATAAAAACAACAACTAACCGCAAACCGCAACAGTAAACAAGATTTCCCAACTCCTGAATCTCCAATAAGAAGTAACTTGAACAGATAGTCACTGTAAAATAAATGATAAAGAAAACATAACAAGTAAATAAAATTGGTTAATGTATAATTAAATGTCAAGTTTACAAACTCGATATAAAGACTAAAACTGTTACTAAAAATTAATAGTAGAGAATTTAAACATAAAACCTAAAATTACATCGAATATGTTTTCATATCACGAAACAAACGACTGACAACAGACCAAATATAAATCAACATACTTAAAAGGTACAACATTATAATAACTTTTACACTTACTACTCAGGATTCATATTAGATAATTCGAGATTTTATTCACAAATGCGACAAATTCTTGATGAAATCTACAAAACCAATATTACAATACAAAATATGGCCACCTACTGCCACTGACTTGGCAAGAACTAACTTCACAATACCATCATATCTACAAGTTGACTCATCACATTTATTACATCTCATCATCGTTGATAAATAAACCCAATAAAATGATGATATCAAGATCCATAAGAAAGAAATTTTAATTAAATTTGTATTAAATTAATATGAAAGATTCCATTTCGATTTTTTTTTTCTTTCAAAACTTATTAGAATTTGTTTAGGTAATGAAAAATAGACACTGTATTATTGAATGACTGAAATTGTTTTGAATTGTTGTTTTTACAATAAAGTTTGTTACAATCTGATGAATATTTTTTTGTATAATTCATTAGCTCTGTATAACCTACTACAACGTACGAACATGTATAACCTGGCTTCTGTATTATGGTTTTGATTAAGCTGGGTTAACTTGACAGCTTTAAAAATGATGCAACAATATATGAAAGAACTTGAACAAGTAATTTTTATTAGATGTTATAATCTTACTGAGCATTGTTATTGCCTGTGTATTTTATGACGTAATTTTCCTTAGGATCCTTACAGTTATGAAGACTTTGTTGAACGTTTAGCTTGGAGAACAGTAGATGGGTTTAAGGAAGATGGGATTCATGGATTTGATCCTAATTTAATGCACGAAACATTTCTCCAAGCAATTAAGTCAGTATCATTCTTGTGGATTTATTTATGGAAATTAAATAAATTTCAATTATTTTTTTTATTTTTAATTATAACTTTACCTGATGAAACAGTTCATTTAATCATTCACCATATTTGTGATTTCTCCTTTTGGTTAGTTAAATTTGGAGTCCTATTTCTCTCCAACATTTCGATAGTTTTTTTCTTATGGGTATTACATCGTCATGATTATCTACTCTTATCTATTATTATCTTAATCTATTATCTACTCTTACTATGATTATCTACTCTTTACATCACTTATAAACTTCTTCCAGGGAAGACCATTTTCTCCACAACCTCTAAATTTACTTTTAATATTAATTAACTTTGAAGATAAACAATATTTCTTTATTTCACCTATATATTGATTCACAACAAGGGAATCTCTTTAAATTTGTGAGGTTGCCAACGGCTAAGAATGAGGCCAATTATACTATTTAGATACAGAATAATTTTTTTCCTGATTTTAGAATTTGGGGGTCTTATGATAAGGGTATGCACTACGATATTTAAGGAAAGATTCTTGAGTCAAACTTCTAGGTCAACAAATCAATTTACCACGAGTCTTCTTTAGTTCGGTTGTGCAGGTGATTTGGAGTTAATTGCCCGGTTGGTTACAATATTGGAAGATTCGTTATTACCATTGGTGGAGGCAACAGGAGAAATGGGTCAGGATATTAACTATTTTAAGAAATCAGATCCTACAAATTTAAGAAACTACATAATTTTCCAAAATCTTTAAAATATTTCCTGTATCGTGTTACTGGATTTATATGAAATATTTGTAAATAGCGGTGTATTTAATTTGAGAAATGTCTAAGTTGCTTTTTTTTTACCCGGAGAAACAAATTTATATCATAAAATCTGAAAGAATATTATTATTGAATATTTATATACGTGAGATCTGGCCAAAACTTTAGTAGTTATAATTCCCGGGTGGTTCCCATGATGAAATTTTAACAGGTCGTTTCTCAGACTTGTGGGAACAAGAACTCGATTACCCCAGAGCAGGCAATTTTTGTGAATTGAGAGTTCAGTTCTTTTCAATCAAAAATTATGAAATTGGTTAGGTGTCTTTGTAGTCCAGTCAATAAAGGAGTTATAGAATGTGTGAGCAGGGACCTAAACGATTCCTTCAGAAACTTGTTCAGATGAAAGCTCAAAATTTTTGGATTTTCATATTGGATATTGGCTTATATCTCAAAAACAGTGCATCGCAGGGGAAATTTGTCGTTTAGTAAATTAAAGTTTATAAAAGCATCTAAAACTTTTATTCTATAGCTGTAGACAAACACAACTACACATATCGTTAGACAAATGAACAAAAGTTATACCAAAACCAGTATTACAGCTCCATAACTATGCCAATTATGAGTATTGAGAAAGCAGACAGTAGGTGCTTACAGAAGAATCACTTTTTCTGCTGATTATGTGCATTTTCTGAGAAGCTATTTCAAATATTTTAAAAATTAATCACTTAGAAAGATAAATGTATTGTCCAGATGTTTTATTTCCAGATATTTTTCGTTATTGTGGCCGTTTATTTAAACCGCGCTTGATTTTCAACATTAGTTTGAACGAACTAAATAAATTGACTTTACCAGTGTTGTAATTGCCTAAACCAATTATATTTTAATATTTTTCTTCTTCTTTATCTTCCTCTTCGTGCCATTACTAGCGTCAAGGAGCCTCTATCCAACGCAGCCATGCCTCTCGGTCCCTACTAAGCTGCCTCATTTCCTGGAGGGTTTTGCCTCTCTTCTCTCCAATCCGCTGCATATACTCCTGATAGGAAATTCTGGGGCGGCCCCTCGCCTTTCTCCCAGTGGGTCGAGCTTCCAAAATCTTCCGCGGGTCCCTCACCACCTCCATCCGACAAACGTGGCCAAACCACTTCAACTGTCGGTTTTCCAGTAGTGTCCTTAGCTCTGCCACCTCCAGGTCCTCTCTTATGCGTTCATTTCTGACGCGGTCTCTCCTGGTCTTTCCAGCAGCTCTCCTCAGAAACTTCATCTCGGCTGCTGTCACACGGCTAACTTGCTTGTCCAGCATAATCCAGCTTTTGCTTCCATACGTAAGGGTTGGGAGGTATACCGGCTTGTATATGTGCCTTTTTGTTTCCTTGCTAACTTCCCCGTGCCCTACTATACTGTTGCTGATAGAGTAATATGCCTGATTGGCTTTGGATATCCTATTCGCTACTTCTGGGTCAATCTTCCACTTGTTGCTGATAATTGTACCCAAATAGGTGAATTCTTGCACAACTTCAAGTACCTGCCCGTTACAGATCAGCTGGACTTCCCCTTGTTCATCTTTTGATATGACTAGGACTTTGCTTTTGGACCTATTGATAATCATACCTTTGCGGAGTTCTTCCTGCCATTCTACAAGGGCCTGCTGCAGCTTGTCTTTTGTGTCCGCAATCAGAACGATGTCATCGGCATATAGTAGGCTTGGACCATAATATTCCGCAGGTTCCATTTTCCGACGACCGTCCAAGCAGTACGACGCTTACAAATTTTATGGATTTCATCCTTAAATATGATTAACAAGAGGGGACTTAGGCTGTCTCCCTGCCTGACTCCTCTCTCCATGGAAGAGGCTTGGACTTTCTACCATTAATCCTTTCTATTCCTTTTGCTGCCTTATAAGCTGATCTAACTGCCGTGATAAGATCACCCGGAATATTTTTTGCCACCAAAGCATCCCATATTTCTTGTCTTGGAACAGAGTCAAATGCTGCTTTGAGGTCCAGAAATGCCATATATATATTCTTGTCTCTGTCCCATGCTTTCTCTGCGATGCCTCTTAGCACGAAAATGTGATCTTGAGTCTGCCTCCCCGGACGAAAGCCTGCTTGTTCGCTCTCAATTCGGTTCTCAACTACGAGCCTTAATTTTCTTTCTAAAATTGAGGAGTATAATTTGTAAGCCACTGAAAGTAAGCTTATTGGACTATAGTTTTCACAATCTGTGGAGCTGCCCTTTTTATGAATAGGGACAGTTATACTTAACTCCCAATCCCTTGGGACTATCTTTGTATCCCATACTTTTTGGAGGAATTGTTGCAGAAATTTAATTAATTCTTGTCCTCCAAATTTTATTAATTCGGGGGCTACGCCATCCCTTTCCGCCGCTTAACCTATTTTAATTTTTTGGATGGCATATTCTGTATCATTTTCCGCAATGACTTCTAGACTTTCCAGAATATTTTTTTCTACCAGTTGTTCTTCTGGGTCAGTGTGTCCTCCTGAGAAGTGTCCCTGATAGAACTCCTTCCACCGTTCAAGAATTTTCGCTTCTTCGGTAACCATGCTGCCACTAGAGTCTTTGACATTTCTCACTGGCTTACTTATTTTTCCTCTTAATAGCTTTACTTTATGCCAGAACTTCTTAATACTTTCCCGGTGATCTTCATCGAGACTTTTTCCGAATCTTTCCCATGACTCTCTTTTCACTTGCCAGATTGCTATTTTGCATTGATTTCGGGCTTGGTGGTATTCGCCTAGTTTTTCGGTTGTTTTCTCTTGAAGATAAGCTTTCCACGCTTTCTTCTTTGATTGAAATAAACCTCGTACTTCCTCATTCCACCACTCTGTGCGCTTTTGTTTATTAGATATTTTGTGCAAGCCACAAACTTCCCTTGCAGTTTCCATGATACACGATTTTAAGCAGCTCCACTGTTGTTCTATAACCCCCTCTCTGCTGATGGTTCTTAATTTTCCTTCCAGTTTTTCGGTATAGGCGGTTCTCTTTTCTGGATCGTCTAGAGCTCTTATGTTGACTGCCTGGTAGCTCTTTTGTTTAATTAGCCGTTTATGTGGAATTTTGGTATCAGCTATTAGCAGCAGATGATCGCTGCCAATTTCAGCGCCTCTTATGACTTTTATATTGGAAAAATAGTTTCTTATGGCATGGTCATGTACAAAATAGTCTATAATACTGTTTCTTTCCAGGCTCGAGAAAGTTATTTTGTGGAGAAAGAAGGAATTTCCCACCAGTAAATCATTGTCTATGCTGAAGTCAATAAGGCGTTGTCCATTTCCATTTCTTACAGTTTCCCCTCCATGGAGTCCGAGGGGATTAATATTTTTCATGTTTTATTATTCTATAACTTTTCAGCTTTAGTAAAATGCTAACTGTGAAGAAATTAAACCAAATGCTGAGTCTCAGTGACTGAAAAACTAACAAGTTTTGTCAGTTACTAACTTCAAGTTGTCAATCCACCACATTGGACGCCATTTTGGGACAGTGCGTTCACTTTTTTTGTGGGACTATTGGTTTTTTTTTAATAAATAGTTGCAAGGAACACAACAATATGATATTTATAGGAATGTGAGATAGGGGACAGTATGGGGGTGAAGTTGCCATGGGGAAAGAACCCTTGCCAAGAGCCGCACGTCCAAAGTGAACAAAAATTTGAATCCATCTAAATTTGTGAGTGTGATATTAAGAAATTATTGAAAATAGTGATAACAATGAGGTTTATAATTGTATTTATTTAATATAACAAAATAGAATAAAATTATCATGAAACTTTTATTTGAATTTTATTAAATTTTTCGATTAACATGATTTTTTCTATTTTATTTAATAATTGGATTTAAAGTGTGGTGACACATATTATTAGACATGCGAACAAAAGTAGTGGGTTAAGAATATGACAAAAACAATTTACTTAACTATGACAACATTTTACAAAAAAAATTTAAAATAACTGTAACTGTAGACTGGTTGGAGATTACTTTGCATATGTATATATATTCTAATAGGGAATTTAAGTCTCTACAACTTATTTTAAATGAATTTCTTTCTCTGATGGATATCTTAGACGATATGAAGGAATGTTTGATGAAAAACATGAGACAAAATTATTATTTTTTTTTTGAAAATGTCATATTTTTCTGTCACTCGAAAATGGTTTAGAATTTGGATAAGACCTATAGAATAAAAGTTTTAGATAATTTTATAAACCTTAAT